GTAGGGATAACCAATCAAGTTTCTCTTTGATATCATCTATCAGCCTTTGAGTTCGAGTAACGACTACAATTTGCGCATGTCTACTTATTAGGATTCTTGTTCTTCTTTTTCTTTTTCCATGCATAAATGCATGTGGCAAATGGAGGTAAATGGAAGTAGAAAGAATGTGTTGCTTCAATCTTTTAAATGGGAAGGGCCAGCCTTCAAAATTACTATTTATATCTTCGCCTTTTAATTTGTTTTTCGTTGTATTATTTAATGTATAATTTATTTTACTTTTAAAATTAGCGGAGGGATAATTGGGCCTCTGGCCAAAAACTAAAGGGATCTACGGTCCAGCTTAGAAAACAGCAATGCTAATTCTGAAGAAATAATTTTGAATTCCTCAATTCACTCCATGGAACTTCAAAACCCCAATTTAACCCTGATTCGGGCTACAAGTCTAATTCCGACCAAAAGAGCGATTTTGGCCGAAAGATCGATTTTGGCCGAAATTACAATTCAGGCCGAAAACTGAGTTCTTCAAATCACAAACTCTGTGGAACTTCGAAACCTCACGACACGAAAAATTCCACATTAACTCTGATTCCTTGGCATTTTGAAGAAATAAAATGAATTTCCTCAAATCCCAAAGGTTTAGGGATATTTTAAATTGAATTTAAAACAAACATTTTTGTGTTACTTTAAACTCAATATAAATTAAAATCTTAAAATCACTAATGTTTTTCAGTTATCTTAAAAAAATTATTTTTAACACTTCTCTCCTCATCCGGACACAAATCCCAATGCTTGATGTTCAAACACCAGATGAAGGACAGAATTTCAATCCCGGGATCATCCTGATTCCAAAAAGGTACAATATGTCTATGTAGAGAAAGTGTGGACCGAGTTAGAGGGGTTTTAGACACACAGACGGGCTGACAGAATTTGTTGTTTATTTATTTAGAAGGTTTTATATATTTTGCAACGCTGAAAGTGTTGGTTCCAATTCTTTAAGAATTGGTAATTTTCTGAAAAATGTTCTCCAAATTTACCTCCTTTCTTCAAATTATTTTTGTTACGAAAATCTCGAGGCAAAGGCTTAGGGCACAATTAATATCTGCTATTTAAAATTCTTTCCTTCTTCTATGTTGGTTCACTTCATTTGTGCTCGACATGTTGGCAAAAGAATTCCAAATACAGCCTAGAGATGAAACGTTTGATGAAAAAGTAACTTAAACAAAAGACATTTTTCGGAAGCCGGGAAAAGCAGGATTGGTAACTTACAGGAAGGTTAGTTGCTTGCTGAGTCGAGATAAATGGATTTTAAATGTCAGTAAATTTTCTTTTCTCTGTTCAAGTTTACTTCAACAAAGCCGTTCGTTATATTTCTTTCAAGTACAAAGGTTAATACTTAAGTGATAAAATGTCTTCTACTTTACATAAGGTTAAAAAAAGGACTCGCTTTAGCAGACATTTGTAGCGTTTAAGATATTTCGACACTTGAGCATAAAATATTTAAGGCTTCGTTATTTGCTTTGAAATATTTATTTTTTAAACAATTTTTCTTATTTTTGTTGTTTGTATCACAAGCCGTCTGACGATTGCGTCCAGCATAAAACAGCCTGTCGCCTCTGAGTGTTGACTTCAATGTTCACTTTAATATTTACACACGCTCTATCTCTGATATTGAGCACTTTATCCCATAATATATCACACCTTAAAACTATATATATATATATATATATATATATATATATATATATATATATATATATATTAGAGAGAGAGGAGAGAGAGAGAGATTTTCTTTCTTTTTAAGAATTTACAGATTAATTTAAGTTGAAAAGATTTTAAAAAAGTATATTTTTTATAACAAGTTAGTAAATAGTTACGTCTGCCAACTGCCATTTTCACAAGCTCAAATGGTAATCACAATTTGGGATTTTTACACAACAAATTCCCTTATTGGATGCCTCTTCATTTCACTTTAAAAAATCAAATCATTCCTCGATGTGTATGGTTTATAACCAGACGACACCGATGTTTTGAGTCGTCCAAATCAAAATCGTCCAAATATATATATATATATATATATATATATATATATATATATATATATATATATATATATATATATATATATATATATATATATATATATATATATATATATATATATATATATTTTTGGTTTTGATGTAAATTAGCAATCATATGTGTAATGGTTTGTAAGCTTATTTCGCTAGATCAATTATGATTGAGTAGTGAGTTCGATCCTCACTGGGTGCCCCATACTTTCGACTTTGAACCACAACTAAGTTACCCTTGGTAAATCACTAGGGCACCTCGACATGGTGTAATGGTTAGCAACTTTGTCTCACTAGAAAAATTACGACTGAGTAGTGAGTTCAATTCTCATACTTTCGAACTTGTGCCACATCTAAGCTACGCTTAGAAAATCACCATATCAGATGGGATCTTACTGCACATACGTGAACAAACACACTCCCATGGGATTTCTTTGCAGTGAGTTTGTCTCCTCTGTCAACAGTTCATTGACAGAGATCGAGCGAGAAGCTTTTTTTCAGGTTTGTTCGGCTTTATTTTGGAAGAAAACATTGCACCATCCAAATCTGTCATTCTCGCCACATCCCAGGTTTGGATGATTGTGATTTCCGGCATTTTGCCAAAGCAGTCATCGTTGTTGAAAAACCATGAGCGAGATTAAGGAGAAAAAATTCTACAGCTGATGCCGATCTCGAAAGAGGACCCTGCGGAATTATTGTGGGATATCCAGAGAGAGTCTTTGAAAAAAGTCTTTGAAAAGTCTTTGAAAAAGTCTAAGTGGCATTGTCCAAGGTCGACTATTTTTGGTTAATGTTTCTGTTTCATATATTCTTCGAACATATATTGTAATACGTAATGACGAAGTTGTGTATATCTAATTGTCGATTTTATTTTGTTAAATGATTATCAAGGAAACTATTATTTTTTATCTTTTTTTTATTTAAAAGATTACTGACCGTGCTGAATCACAGTCATGTTGAACCGAGCTTTCCTCTTGGGGCTTTGTCTACTTCTGAGCACTGAGGTATGTGCTCGCTTCTACTTTCCAACAGTTTCACTTCCATTTTATACACCGAAACCCTGGCCTGGAGGGAATAACAATGGTGGCCAGACGAACAACGGAGGTCAGACGAACAACGGAGGTCAGACAAACAACGGAGGTCAGACGAACAATGGCGGTCAGACGAACAACGGTTGGCACCCAGATGGTCAGACCAATAACGGTGGTCAGACCAATAACGGTGGTAGAGACATACTGATAAACGGCACAACAGGTAAACACACACACACACACACACACACACACACACACACACACACACACACACACATTGTTTTAAAAACAAGGAAAATGTTTCTTTCAAAGGCCCTTTCATCTAACATCTCATCAGGAGTAAGTCGTTGGCAATAAGTTAAACGAAAGAACAGTAACAACGAAAATGAAGAGCAAAAAAGAGGGGAAACACGATAAGATAAATATATATATATGTATATATATTTATATCGAGTGAAGGGGAAATCTAGTGTAAATACAATTAACGAGGGACAATTAAAATAAAATATCCCCCAACAAATTAAGAGACTTGACAAAATCCTTCTGCTGGCAGAGAGAAGGTTTGCACAGTGATATAGAGACTGATTCCAAAATCTTTAAATGATTATTTGAAACAGCTCTATGAATAACTCTAAACCATTCTTTCTTATAAAACTTGGCACATGCTATATTTTCCAATAAATGTTGCGCAATAGCAGATTCGATGAGGGAAAGTAACAAAAGTTACTTATTTTGCCAAGTCTTATTTTCAAAGGCACATGCTGATTGATCCTTGTTTCTAAATGTAAGTTGGTACACTCCACATTGCAGCGCACTGGCAACTAAATTCATTGCAGCGCACTGGCAACTAAATTCATAAACCAAGCTAGTCAATTTGCTGTAGGGCAAACTATCCTTACGAAACGACAGAAACGCAGACCTAGTACGAAAAAATGCAAAAGCAGAGCAACAGACGAAAAAAACAATTAGAAACCGATATATATATATATATATATATATATATATATATATATATATATATATATATATATATATATAGATTTAACAATAAAAATATTAAAAATTAAAATCTTGAGACACACTGGGTTGTAGATCAATATTCTTTCGGTTTTTTATTATTATTTCATTTAGATTCCTCGACTAGTTTGGGCCAAAATGGCCATCATCAGGAGAAGAAATATTTCTGCTTGCTGGTAGCAGTGAACTACAAATATATATATATATATATATATATATATATATATATATATATATATATATATATATATATATATATATATATATATATCTTATCGTGTTTCACCTCTTTTCGTTGTTACTGTTCTTTCGTTTATTTATTGCCAACGATTTACTTCTGATGAGATGTTGGATGAAAGTGTCTTTGAAAACAAACATTTTCCTTTGTTTTTAAAATATATATCAAGTTTGTAAATTTCTAAGCATTTGTTTATATATATATATATATATATATATATATATATATATATATATATAGATAGATAGATAGATAGATAGATAGATAGATTACAGTTCCAAATTTTGACGTCATCCCTGGTAATGTTTTAAATTGGCCCCAAAAGTAGTTGTTTTGTACTTTAAATAAGAGAAAATTATTATACTTGGTTGAAAAAAGTGAAACATGATTTTAAATTTCATTATGGCAAAAAGAAAAATAGAATTTTATGAATAAATTTTGGTCTTGTCAAAATATACTCCTTCAGTACAAATTTTCGGCAGTCGTAGCAAAAGTTTCTTAAATTATAAGTTTGATAATTGATTTCGTTCTTTTTTCAATGACCCTAATAGCTCTTTTTCATTTTTTTTTTTCTCTTACGTCATGCTAATTCTGGTGGCCGCTTTAAAACTTTGAACTGTAGTACATATATATATATATATA